TATCCTTGTATTCTGGATAATTGTCCCCAACAATTTTGAATGCTCTGTCAGGGACAATCTTCCTCCTCAAAATATTGGCCTTGAAGAAGTTTTCGTGAGCAATACTTCTGAATCTTGGATCACATAATTCAATTGGGGATGAAGCTGAGGCACCATCTATTCTGTCCTTCTTTGATTTTGGTATGTTTCTAGTGGATCCAGCTTGGATGTTCCTGTTGGATCTCCTCTTTGGAGTGTTGCTGGAAGATCCAGCCTGAGTCTTCCTGAAGGAGCCAACTGGTGTGTTCATAGAAGTTCTAACCATTTTTTTTTAGTTTCTGTAAGAAATAATAAAAATGTGCAAGTTAACTTCTTGCAAAACACTAGTTGCCTAAGTATAAGGTTCTGTACTGAAGAATTTTCAATCAAACAATTTACAAAAACTCCCTTCTTCTAACAACATAACATGCATTCTACTATAATGATGAGTTAACATACTATACTCAAGCACCGCTGCACATTATTAAGCATTGACAACTAGAACATGTTAACTCCTAATATATAAATTCAACGTGCACACTCTCAGAGCATTTCATGTTAATGCAAAAAAATCATTTCAGGTTTCTAATCAACTTTTCAACAAACTCTGTAATTTCAGCAGAAAACTATTTTAGCAGAATAGGGCATATCAATATGCAGATAGAAAAGCACAAGTGCACAGAATTGAACTATATTCAAAGAATTTTAAATTGATATCCCTAATGTTGTAAGTTTTGAGTGCACACTTTCTCAGAAAAATAGGGTGATGTAGAAGGATTTTTACAAGTTTTTACCAATTTTAAAGCGCAGTTATGCAACTCACTCATTGTTGGTAGAGAACATTTTATCAGAATAATGCAGAATTGATTTCAAAACAACAGGTAATTTCAAATAGTCATTTTCAGAAATTTCCAATCCCACATTCCTATTTAGAATAATATCTGAACAGTTTCTCATTGCCCTCATCAAATATTTCACTGACGTCTATTTAGGTTGCTTGAATTTCTACAGATTTTAGTAAGAGAAATAGCATAATGCAGATTCTAGTTTCCCTAAAAATTCATACATGACAAATAAACCCTGTTCAGAGTAATGCCCTATCAAATATAATCAGAATAGTCCACAATTACCCCCAAATGATTTCCTAAAAACATCAACCACAGAAAAACCTAATCCATAATTTCAAAAAAATGAGGGTGTACGTACCTTGTAGGGAGATACAGAAATGAGTGAGAAAATCTTGTTGTTGCTTGTGGACCCACAGAGAGATTAAGAGTGCAAAGAAAACTGAGAGAGAAAAGGAATTTCTAGAGTAAATGTGTATGTGTGTGTTCATGATTAGTAATATATATAGGCACGCGTGAGCACGTGACCACTTTTAAATTTAAAAGTGAATGTTGCATCATTAAATGGTCCTAGTGTTATCACTATTTTTAATCAAAGTGAACATTCCGGAGAGTTAACTTTTTAGGGTGAGGAGGATATGGGTTGCATTATCACTATGGTTGGGCAAAGTGATAACGCACAGCCACGTGACAACTTTTTTGAATAAAAGGAGTAACACACAAAGATTGAAAGTCTACTTGCCTGTGCGTAGTCACTTTTACCGATAAAAAGAAGCATTCCAGAGAGTTAGTTTTTCCATCTGTCTCTGCGTAATCACTCTCATCAGTGAGAGTGAGTGTTCCAGAGAAGTGTATTACCTTGATGCCTCTACGTGATCACTTTTATCAGTAAAAATGATTACTCCAGAAGGTAACCTCAAGATTTCCTCTCTGTGTAGCTCCTTCGCTGTAACATAGTAACTCCTTTCATTAGTCAATTACCTTTCAAATCTCCATTAACTCAATTGTCACACTCTAAACCTTCAAATACACACTCTAAGCATTAAATCTCAATTTAAGTACCCAAATGCACCTTAGAAAACAGACTTCATAGAATTAACTTGCAGAAATTGTAAACATGAAAATACAGAATGCTAAAACACTACAAAAAGCTTAAAATGGGTTAGAAATGTAAGTTGCCTCTCACAAAGCGCTTCTTTAATATCACTAGCTTGACATTAGTTGTTCCTCACTCAAGAGGAACCAATTTCATACACATTTGGGCTTTCTCTACTTGACCACCAAGGTAGATTTTTAGTCTCTGCCCATTCACTTTGAATTCTCTCCTATCCTTAGGATCTGCTACTAGTACAGCACCATATAGGAATACCTCTTTCACCACAAAAGGTCCAGACCACTTGAATTTTAACTTCCCTGAAAACAATCTCAACCTTGAATTGAAAAGTAACACAGATTGTCTAGGTTTGATATCCCTTTTCAAAATAAATCTGTCATGCAACTTTTTGGTCTTTTCCTTGTATATTTTGGCATTTTCATAAGCATTAAGTCTGAACTCATCCAATTCATGTAGCTGTAGCAGTCTTTTGTCTCCTACACTAACTTGGTCAAAATTTAGCCATTTCACAACCCAAAATGCTTTATGTTCTAGCTCCACTGGTAAGTGGCAAGCCTTACCATACACTAGCTGATAAGGAGACATCTCAATTGGTGTCTTAAAGGCTGTCCTATATGCCCATAAAGCATCATCCACTTTCTTGGACCAGTCCTTCCTTGAACTACTTACCACCTTCTCCAAAATCAGTTTTATTTTTCTGTTGGAAACCTCTACTTGGCCACTTGGTTGAGGGTGGTAGGGTGTAGCTATTCTATGCTTGACTCCATACTTCTCTAGGATTGATTCTAGATATTTGTTGCAGAAATGGCTTCCTCCATCACTTATCAGAATTCTGAACACTGCAAATCTTGAGAAAATGTTCTTTTTGATGAATGAAATAACAATCCTTGCATCATTGGATCTGGTAGGAATTGCTTCCACCCATTTGGACACATAGTCAACTGCTACTAACATGTATTCATTCAAAAATGAATTAGGGAAAGGACCTATGAAGTTTATCCCCCACATGTCAAATAGTTCTACCTCAAGTATGTTTTGCAGTGGCATCTCATATTTCTTAGAAATATTTCCCATTCTCTGGCATCTATCACATCTTTCCACATAGTTCTTGGCATCCTTGAACAAAGTTGGCCAGAAAAAAACCAGATTGCAGGACCTTGGCTGCTATCCTTGAACTACCATGGTGTCCTCCATATTCTGAACTATGACAGTGCTACAAAACATCTTCCTGCTCTTCCTCTGGTATACACCTTCTCAGCAGCCCATCTATTCCAATTTTGAACAGTAATGGATCTTTCCACACATAATATTTGCTGTCATAGAAGAATTTCTTTCTCTGGTGCCAACTCATCCAATTTGAAACATGATGTGTAGCTTTAAAGTTGGCCATATTAGCAAACCAAGGCTGGGATTCAATCTTGAATAAGCTCTCATCTGGAAACTCTTCTTTTATTTGCTCCACTTCAAATGGTATTGTCTCAAGTGGTAATCTTGACAAATGGTCAGCAACGCCATTCTCCTTTCCTTTCTTATCCTTTATCTTTAACTCAAATTCTTGGAGAAGTAGAATTCACCTTAATAATCTGGGCTTGACATCCTACTTTGATAAAAGATACTTAAGAGCAGCATAGTCAGTGTAAACTATAACCTTAGACCCTATCAAATAAGATCGAAACTTGTCAAATGCAAAAACTATAGCTAAGAGTTTTTTTTTCAGTAGTAGTGTAATTAATTTATGCAGGATTAAGAACTCTACTAGTATAATGAATAACATGCATTTTCTTGTCTTTTCTTTCGCCTAAAACTGCTAGCATCACACATCAGCTCAAAAGGTAATTCCCAATCTGGTTTAACAAGTACAGGTGCAGAAATTAATTTCTCTTTCAAAGTATTAAAAGCTACTAAGCACTTATCATCAAAAACAAATTCTATATCCTTACCCAGCAACTCACTTAATGGCTTTGAAATTTTAGAAAAGTCTTTAATGAACCTGCGATAGAATCCAACATGTCCCAAAAAGCTTCTTATTCCTCTAACATTTAAAGGTGGAGACAACTTCTCAATTACTTCTACTTTTGCAGGATCCACTTCCATTCCCCTTGCTAAAATCTTATGTCCTAAGACTATCCCTTCTTGTACCATAAAATGACACTTTTCCCAATTAAGCACAAGATTTGAGTCTTGACAACGCTGCAAAAAAAGAGATAGATTAGCTAAACACTTATCAAAAGAATTACCAAATACAGAAAAGTTATCCATAAAAACCTCTATAATTCTTTCAATCATATCAGAAAAAATGGACAAGATACACCTTTGGAATGTAGCTGGAGCACTGCACAACCCAAATGACATCCTCTGTATGCAAAAACTCCAAAAGGACAAGTGAATGCTGTCTTTTCTTGATCTCTTGGGTCAATTGCAATCTGGTTATAACCAGAATATCCATCTAGGAAACAGTAGTAGTTAAACCCAGCCAATCTCTCCAGCATTTGGTCGGCAAATGGAAGATGAAAATGATCTTTCCTTGATGCATCATTCAACTTCCTATAATCTATGCACATTCGCCATCCGGTTACTGTCCTGGTAGGTATTAGTTCATTTTTTTCATTTGGAACAACAGTTATACCTCCTTTCTTGGGCACTACATGAACCAGACTGACCCATGAACTATCTAAAATAGGATAAATAACTCCTGCATCTAGTAGTTTCATTACCTCTTGCCTCACTACCTCCTTCATAATTGGATTAAGTCTTCTTTGAGATTGGACAACAGGCTTGCAATTCTCCTCAAATAAAATTCTATGCTTGCAGAAAGAGGGATCTATACCTTTCAAATTTGAAATCTGCCATCCTAGTGCAGATTTGTGCTCTCTTAACACTCTCAAGAGCTTTTCTTCTTGGTCTTTCCTTAGATTGCTGTTTATTATTACAGGTTTGTTATGGCCCTCTTCAAGAAACACATACCTCAAATGAGAGGGTAATTGCTTGAGCTCCACCTTTGGCTCATCTTTCTTCTCTTTTTCTTAATGTAACTCCTCCTTGAGCTGGTTTATTTCCTTGTTTATACAGGGAAGGGAATCTAATTGCAGAATGCAGTCTTTCACTTCCTCATCTTGCTCTTCATGAATACTACATTTTGCTATAGCTAATGTGCTTTCCAAGACTGCACTTTCATTATTTTTTTCCAAGGAAGGTGGTATCACAGCATCTATTACATCAATCTTCATGCAGCTCATATCATCACTTGGATGTTTGATGGCCTCAAATACATTAAAAATGACTTTCTCTTCTTGTACTCTTAACATTAATTCACCTTTTTGCACATCTATCAAGGCTCTCCCTATTGCTAGAAATGGCCTTCCTAGAATGAGAGGGATATCAGCATCTACCTTCATATCTAGTATAACAAAGTCTGCAGGGAATATAAATTTGTCCACCTTGACTAATAGGTCTTCCACTACTCCATAGGGATATGTATATGATCTGTCAGCCAATTGTAATGTAATCCCAGTTGGCTTCACCTCCTCAATTCCTAGCTTCTTCATAATGGCTAAAGGCATTAAATTTATGCTGGCTCCTAAGTCACACAAAGCTTTTCCAACTGTGTGGTTTCCAATGGAGCAGAGTATGCTGAATGACCCTGGATCCTTCAACTTTTGAGGCAGTTTTCTCTGCAAAATGGCACTGCACTCTTCAGTAAGTGGTACCAATTTTTTCATATCCAACTTCCTTTTTATAGGCAAGAGCTCTTTCATAAATTTTGCATAAGAGGGCATTTGTTCTAATGCCTCTGCAAATGGTATATTAATTTGGAGCTTCTTGAACACATCAATGAACCTTTCAAACTGCTTTTCTTGTCTAGGATCATGTACTCTCTTTGGAAATGGTAGCCTCTTGAATTGCTCTTCATTAATAGGTTTGCAGGCTTGCTCAAATCTCTGCTTCTTGCCCCTCTTTTCTTGCTTGTTACTGCAGTTTTCTTCTTCTTCTTTTCCCCTCTTCAGCATAGTGTATTTTTCACTTTCAAAATCTTCTTGTTTCAGCTCACTTTCCTCATTCGAATTGGTGACTTCATTTTTCTTTCTTGGGCTGGAAACCACTGCTTCACTTCTAGTGGTTATGGCTTGGCATTGTTCCCTTGGATTCACTATTATGTTACTAGGAAACCTTACTTCATCTCTATTAGCCAGTTGCTCAGCCAACTGCCCAATTTGTGTTTCTAGCTTCTTTATAGAACTTTCTTGATTTTTGAAATTAGTTTCTGTCACCTTCATAAACTATAGTAGTGTCTCTTCAATTCCATTCACTTTCTCACTCAAGGGTCTTGAATTTGAATACCCTTGGTTTTTCTGAACTTGTGCAAAAGAACTTCCTTGAAAATATTGTTGCTGGACTTGAGGAGCTGCACTTGGGAACGGTACAGAACCTGCATTCCCTCTTGCATTAGAATTCTGTAGATTCCACTTAGAAAATTGCTGTCCTCTATTGTTAGTTAGCTGGAAACCAGGTGGATATGGTTGTTGTAGCCTTTGATAATTGCGCATATAGTTGACTTGATCAGGTTGTTCTATAACTGTGGGATCATAAGCTCTATTCACATGGTTGCCACCACAGAAATCACAACTCAGTTGTGAATTTTGAACCACACCAGTCTGCATGTTACTTATTTGTTGAGTCAAGGCAACAATCTGTTCAAAAAATTGTTGATTCTGATGTTGATTTTGAGCAAACATGGCTTCTATGGATTTTACATCATATCCTCCTCTCCTTGAAACTTGTCTTTCATTCATATTTTGATACAACGAAGATGCCATCATTTCTATGATTTACTGAGCTTCTTCCAAAGTCTTTGAACTCAATGAACCACCAGTTGTTGCATCTATCTATCATTGTTTTTGTTGCTGCAGTCATTCCATTGTAAAATGTTTCAAGCTGCATCCATTCAGGTATGCAGTGATGGGGACACTTCCTCAATGGCTCTCCATCTTGCTGGACAAAAGATGTAATCTCACCTCTGATTTTTGCAACTTTTGAAGGGGAAAATACTTGATTAGGAACTTGTTCACCAAATCAGCCTATGTTGAAATACTACCTTGAGGCTGAGCTTGGAGCCAGCACTTGGCCTTATCCCTCAATGAAAATGGGAATAGTCTGAGTCTAATTGCATCCTCGCTTACCCCATTGATTCTAATTGTGTCACAAAGTTGCAAGAAATTGGAGATGTGCATATTTGGATCTTCTGAATGGCCTCCAACAAATTGGTCTTGCTGTACCAGATTTAGAAGTGCAGGTTTTATCTCAAAGTGGTTAGCCTGAATTGTAGGTCTTAGAATAGAAGAATTGAATCCCTGGAGATTAGGAACTGCATAATCCCCTAAGGTTCTTAGTCTTTGCGGCTCTACCATCTTTATTTATCTGGGAATCTGATTTGGTTGAGGTGGAGGTATAAAAATCTCTTTCTCCTCTCTTTGAACTTGCTTAAATATTGCTTCACTTCTTAACCTCTTTAGTGTTTGGTCAATATCTGGATCGAATACCAAAGTAGCTTTATTTTTGTTTTTTCTTCGCATATACAAATCAAAATTAACAAAGTTAAACTACAGATCAATATTTAGGTTTTCACAACAAAGATTATGCAGAAAAATTATCAGCAGCAACATGTAAAATTAAAGTCTAACAAATGCAGAATTATGTCAAAATTCTTTTACTACTATTATACAATTATCTATTAAAAACAGAACCAAGTAACTTGAATGTAAGACTAACTACAGAGAAAATTAAAAAAACAAAAACTCAATCTAGCAATTTTTCTGTTACTAATGATATTGAAACTCAAATTCCCCGACAACGGCGCCAAAAACTTATTGTTACAATTCTAAATACTAGCAAGTGCACTAGGAATTGCAGCAAGTAATGAGTAATTTTTAATATCAGAATATCGTGTCCACAGGGAATTAGAAAATCAATTATCACTTCACAGAACTATAACCATTTAAGCCATACGAAATTGGAAGAGTTGTATTATTCAGAAGTAAGAAATAAGAACAATTAAAAGGTAAAGAACTTGGAGAAAAACAGAGTTTGAATGTAAGGTTGAGATTAGAGATGGATGAATAACAGTTAGAAATTTATTTCACAAGAATGTCAATATCAATTCAATCATGTATCTGAATATTCAAGTAATTGGTTAATTGCCAATCAGTTTCTCTTATTGATAGTCAAAGTTTAATTCCTTAAATCATTGACCCTAACAAGCAACTAAACCCCCCTAATCCCTTAGGTGAAGTTCAATTTCAAGTTGCATTAAGATTTAGAACCGTAGGATTGCAGTATTAGGTCTCCTTATCCCTAAGAGATCCCCAATTCTGATTACTAACTCAGATCAGAGAAGCAAATCCAACTTCTATTGGTAAATGTTTCTCTTTGATTAACCATACAAATTTCCATTCACAGAGTGCAATAACAGTAAAATTAAAAATTCAATTAATCCAAGAACTCAAATTTTAGAAGCAAACGTTGAATCAATACATCAATTCAAGTTTCATAAACTCCTAACTACAAACAATTAAGCAGACATTGTAACAGGGAAAGATAAAGAAGGAGAAGAAGAGATGAAACTCAGAAAAGCCATAGCCACGAGGTTCAATCCAATTCCTCTTCTTGAAGCTTTGAGGTTCAACCCCAGTCCTCTCTCTCACTCTCTCCCAACGAGAATCTAACAGAAAAATGGAAAATGAACAAAGGACCTTGAGTTCTAAGCTTAATCATGTATTTATAGAAATTCTCGATTGTGTGCGTTGTCACTTTTCTCCATAAGAGTGGCTACGCAGAGGCTTCTGTGATTCTGAAATTCTGGAACTATCACTTTCGCTGCTAAGAGTTGCAACACATGAGGTCGAGTGGTTGTGCGTTAACAGTTTTATGAGTAAAAAAGTACAACTTGCCAAGTTGAGGACTCTTTGGAACATCCATTTTCAATGATAAAAGTGGTTACGCAAAACTTGCTGAATCTGAAGCTTCTCTGGAACACTCACTTTCAATGATAAAAGTGGTTACGCCCAGGCTTCACTTCTCTTTTGAGCTCTGGAGTGATCACTTTCGCTGACAATAGTGATTACGCCCAGCCTGCATTCCATTGTTCTTGTGTTTTGGAGTCCAGAATTACTATTCTTCCTCTTTCTTTCCATTGATCTTCCATTTTCATGACTTTTTCTCAAATTATTCCTACAAAAACAAGATTAATTTCTTAAGATCTAAGCAGAAATTCCACAAATGCTAAAATAACTACATATTAAAAGAAAACCTTCAATCTTTATCTTTTTCTAAGTTTTTCTTCTTTTTCTAACATTGTTTTCTTATCAAATGGGTTAGATTTACACTAAAATATTAGTCAAAATATGGATTCATCACAAATTCATATCCATAAAATTTATACAAAATGTTTCAGTGCTCGAAATCAATTATTAACTTTTGAATGTCCTTTAAAGAAAATATATGTCAAATTTAGTCCTTAGTCATAATTATCATACATAACCAGTCATAATTATCATACATAACCATTAAGGCTTAGCTCATATGGTAAGGATATAATGGTCTTAAGACTCATTTCCATGAGTATATAATATGACTTTGAAGTAAACATAGAGAAAGAAGTCAAACTAATACTATAAAAGATTGAAGAGCAACCAAGAATTTTGGCTTAATTGGAAAACTTAGTCCAAATAGGTATACTCCATCTATGATAAAGGAACTTGAAATCCACCCTTGAAATCCACAAGAAGTACCATGTGGTTAAGGCTAAGTTAAAACACAATCAGGGACTAATCTCACATCTAAAGGGAATGGAAACATTATATAGTATTATTTATAACAAATAATTAGGAGAGAAAAGATAGTAGAAGAATATTTCTTTTTAAAACTTTTCTTAAATTCAATGGACATTTATAAGCTAGATTCACTTCTATATAATATTTTAAAATATTTTTTAAGCTATATTATAAACATTTTTTTTCTTAAGAATAAGTTTCCTCGCTTGAAGAGAGAAATAATGATAAAATTATATGGAATGTTATCCTCAACTTTGCAATCGATGTTAACTGGATGACATTGCTTAATAATAATAATTAATAGAAATGAATTGAAGTTTACCTCAATTCAATAAAAGTAGTATAAACTACCATTCATAAATCGAGGTAACAAAGATTTTAATTTAGATGCAAATGCTTGTTGAAAACTCAAAACAAGAAACTAACAATCTTCTATATAAAAAATTAATTACTCACATAAATGATGTGTATATAAACAAATGTAATGAAAAAAATTTCAAAACTAATATTAGTGCTACATTCTTGTCACACACTACACATTCTGAGGCATGTCGATCTCGTAACCAATTATTGTAGATGTAGACTCTTTGACTTACTAATCATGCAACATACCCTTGCTTCATGTAGCATATCGTGGAATTTATATAGAAAAATATCTAAAAAATGACTAGCATTTTTAATATTAAAGATTAGTGACGTTATGCAATAGAATGACCATAAAAATATGCAAGTATACGCATTAGATAGGAATTGAATAGGAATTGAAGCTATTAAAGGCGAAGATTATTAAATAGGAATTAAAGCTATTAAAGGATAAGGACTAAAACCCCATACCTGGTCAAAGCTCTAAAACTAAATTGAAGCTCATCTTTCAGCGTTGCAATGGAGGAGAAATACGCATTAGATAATCACAAAATTGATAGAAAGAAAGATGTGCTGGGTGAGAGGGGCGACATTTTCTTAAAGACAAAGTTGCGGTAAGGTAAAGTGGAAAAAAGAAAAAAAAAAGAATATTTTGATAAATTAGTAAGAGTTTTTCAAATCATTATTAATTAACCATTGTTATTATAAATTGTGGGCACCATTAAAATTTAACTATAATCATGTAAATCTCAAGAAAAAAATGTTGAAAAAATTAATTTTTCTTGTAGTGAGTGATAATCAAAATTAGATTGAATGAAACTTGAACTTATTAATGTAGTAGAAAATTTGGTAAATCATTGTCAAGATACTTGTTTTAAGCTATATATAACTAAGTGCTCCCCTTTGACTTGTTTTCTCCCTGAACTTCATAGCCAAAAGGTAGATCCATGTATACATCTTCAAACAAATCTTTATTAAGGAAAGTATTACTGATGTCTATTTGAAGAAAATTTAAATTTTGGACAATGATTATTGCAACTAAAGTTCTTACTGGTGCCAATTTTGCTATAGGAGAAAAAGTCTCA